TTTCTCGGCTGAGCGGGCACGTAGCAACTTGGGAGAAGGGCAGCGGGCTAGACGGAAGAGGCAGGCTTCAGAGCAGAGCCCTGCAGAGAGAGAGAGAGAGGGAAGAAGAGAGAGAAGATGGGAAGGGAGGTGCAGATAGGGCCAGGCAGCACTCCCCTACCGCCTGGCCCCTGGGCACCAACCACAGCCTGACCTGTATCTGCAGAGGAAACGGAAGCAGCTTCTTCCTCGAGCACTTTGGTATAAAGGTCCCTGAAGTCAGCTGGGGAGGAGATGGAGACGGTGCAAGTGCCCAGTGGACACACCCACTGGTCGCACCACCCTCGGGGAGAGAGCTCCAGCCCCCAAGCCCCGTCCTCAGCAGCCTGCCCACCGGACAGGAACTAAGGTGGTCTCGCCGGTGGCCGCACCCCCCTCAGTTCCCAGAGCCCAAGGGCAGTGATGAGCACCTGCTGTGCTGCCGAACACCTCTAGGGGAGGGGGTAGGGAGCTGAGGCCTGGAGGGGTAACTAATTCCCGCCCAGTCATGGAATCGGGTTTCAGAAATCATCTCTTTTAGCCACTCAGTTATGATGGTGCGTTTTCAGGAAGCGAACACTCCAGAAATGCCCCGGGCAGGAGTGAACTCACCCTTTTTTCCCGCCTCTGGCACCTCAACGGTGTCCCAGATTCTGGCGGGATCACTGGCCCCAGACTCCCCTGACCGCCCGCCTGCTCCTGAACCCTGGGTGGGGGACGGGGGCGGGGGGGGGGGGGGGGATGCTCACCGGTGTCGCTGGAGGTGGTGATGCCCGGGTCACTGTGGGACCGTGGCAGCAGCAGCGGTGGCGGGGGAGCCGGATTCGGAGGCCGGTGCCCCGGGGGGGTGAGGGAACCTGAGCTGTCGCTGAAGCGGCGAGTGGGGGCGCGGGGAGGGGGGGCCGCTGCCGCCCCCGGCCGGCCGCCGCCCCGTGGGACCCGCCGCCTCAGCTCGGGGAAGCAGGGTCCCACCCAGGGAGGCCAGCCTTCCAGCCGGTGGCAGCTGCGGGCGGCCGTGGGGGCCCCCAAAGGGGGCGGGGCCTCGGGGGCGGAGCAGGAGTAGGAGCGGGCGGCCCTGGGGGGCCTTCGCGGCAGGGGGCTGTCCTCGAAGGGGCCGCGCAGGCCGCAGTCCAGGCTGAGGCAGTAGCCGGCGCGGCTACGCTGAATGGAGCGGAAGAGCACGTAGTCGACGGAGCGCACGGAGCCCTGTAGCTCCAGCAGGCACGAGTCCTCCGACGGGCTCGAGCCCCCGGGGAGGTCACCGATGGCGGACAGCGCCAGAGACCCGCTGTCCATGGACACTGTGGGCGGCAGGGGGCGCGGGGCGGTACGGGCCCATCAGGGGCCACTCTGCCAACGGTTCCGCCTCCAAGGAGGCAGCTCGAGTCCAGGGCTCCACGGAGCCGCCCAGCGGGCCCCAGCTTGCTCGGCCGTCCCAGGCCGCCCGGCCCGTGCTCGCCTCCCCCCTTTTTGCTCACCGTCTACGATGGAGGCCACGCGCTCACAGATGCAGGAGCCGTCGTGAAACTGTGGATCAAACAGAGTGGCCTGCGGAAAACACAAGTGTCGAGGGGCCAGCCCTACACGCCGATCTGGCCACCCCGTGTGCGGGACAGAGCTCTGGACACCCAGATTCCAGTCCAGCTTTGTCACTTTGTGCGGGTCAGCTATGTGGGCCTCAGTTTCCACATCTTTAAAATAGAAATGGTACTTCCTGCTCCCTCCCGACCTTACCACGGAGAGATCAAAGATGACCCTGCACGTGCTGGGGTGACAAAGACCATGAGCACTACTGTTTTCTTTGTCCAGGCACAACAGCTCACTGGGCTTTTCAGGCTCTGTCCCAGCTCCCCAGGCCACACCGAGACCCGCTCTCACCTGGCTGTCTCCTCGTAGCCCCATGACGGCCTCATAAGAAGGGGGACAATCAGTAGGGTACAAGGGCACCGGGCTGTCCATGGAGCCATTGTAGGTGATGCTGGGAGGGGGAGGCAGAGGAAGGAGCCTGGCAGAGCACTCCTACTCCACAAAGCTCCCTCCCCGCCAACCCAGGTGGCTGCATTGCCCCCGCCCCCCCCACCCCCGCAGGACTCTGCCAGGCCTCACCTCTGGGCGTCTGTTTCCGAGCTGCAGGTATACTCTGGGGGGTAGTAAGGTGGGGGGGGCACCGGCGGTACAAATTCCTCCAAGTCCAGCATGGTGTGTAGCAGAGGGGCTGGCGGCGAGGACGTACAGCCCAGAGACCCCAAGGGGCCTGAGGCTGAGCGCTCTGGGGCCAGCTGCTGGGGAGCAAGCAGGTCAGCAAGGCCGATTTCTGGGAACACAGCCCCTAGGCTCCTGCACCCCTCCACGGCGTCCTGGCCCTGCCCCCTCAGACAGCTGGGCTCCGGCCCCTCCCCCAGCCAGCACCAGCTCTTCCTCTAACGTCTAGAAAATCCTGGCTCTACGGCCCCATCTCTGTCCAGAATTGCCACCTGTCCTCTCCTCCTGCTCCAACACTGACCCTTTATCCTCATCCCCACCTAGGACCTTCCTTCTGGACTCCGCCCAACTTGTAGTCTCACTGTTGGGTCACATACTTCCCCACTCCCTGTCCTTCTCCTCCTCGTCCTCCCTTGGATGCCCTCGACACCGCTACGCTAGATGCTAGACGTGCCTAATACGTAGCCTGCAGCCTCCGGTGCGCAGAAGCCAGTGCCGTAGCCCCCATCCCCTCGAGCCCGGTCCCAGCACATTCGCCCCTGCCCCCATCGTACCTGCTTGGCTTTGACCCCAGCTCCCCCTCACCGTGTGCACGAGGTCCAGGGAGAAGATTTGGATGCAGCAGACAATAGCTGAGAGGGTACAGATGATGGCGGCACAGATGGTGAGCCCGCAGACGCTGAAGAGCAGGTTCTGGAGGAAGGAGGAAGACGGATGGGAGAGGGGCCCGGGGAAGGGTAAATCCCCCGAGTTCTGGGCCCGTGAGGCAAAGGTGAAAACCAGGATGGTGGGGGAGAAAGGAATGGCTGAGGTGGGGCGCGCATGCTCACCTTGAGGGCCCCTCGGGCTTCGTCACAGGTGGAGTTGGGGGCAACTTTCAGTTCCTGGCCCGACTCTGGACAGGGCCGAAGCAGGGGAATGGAGGGGCAGCACACACAGACCTTCCCTTCCTGAGTGGGAGTGGGGAGGGTGAGGCAGCCTGAGTCAGGACAAACCCAGGGGTCCTGCACACCTCCCCCAACCAGTTCTTTCTGACCCTCCCTTCTCAGTCTCACCATGGAGCAGTCTTGGAAGTCTCGGGCCAGCTGAGCATTCTTACAGGAGAGAACAGAGCCAGCCATGCTGAGCATGACACAGAGCACCGAAAGCAAGGAGAAGAAGGAGACCTGGGGGAATCAGGTGCACACTCAGGGCTGGGGCCCTCAGAGGTGCCCTCTACCACGGGTGGGCCCCCTCTACCACGGGTGGGCCCCTCCTTCACAGACATTCATGCCTGGCAGGCACAAACTGCACAACCAGTTCGCTTCTCCCGGGCGTCTGTGGGCCTCCCCTCGGGTGCTGGGCACCTGCCTCCCGGTGGGCACCAGACCCTAAACACCTACCACTAGAGTGAATGGCCGCTTCCAAGACACAACGCCAACTACCCCGGAGAACGCCAGCTGGGGACAGAGTGGGTACAGGCTCAGCCTGGCAGGGGGAGGCACCCGAGTGACCCCTCACCACAGGGTGCGCCCAGCTCTATAGGAAAACCAGAAGCCCAGAGGAGGGAGGAGGGACCAGCTCCTGGACTGGCAGCTAGTGTGGAGGGGTGGGGCCCCAGGAGCCTACCCCACCCAACCACCGTGCACCCAACTCACCGAGAATCCAGCCCAAGACGGGCAGGACCTCTTGATGCTCTCGGTGGTGGTGACCGAGGAGGCCACCATGCTGAAGGTGACCACCAGGATGCCCAGGAGCACCTGAGCCAGCCCCAGCGTGAGCAGGGCCTGCAGCCAGGGTCGGTGGAGGCGGAGGTGGGTAAGGCCCCGGGTGCTGGGTCGACTGGTCAGCGAGCGGCTGGAGTCACTGGGCGAGGGCATCATGCCTGCCGCGCGGTTGCCTGCGCCTCGCTCGGGCTCCACCGGCGCTTGGGAGCATCTCAGAGGCGCCCAAGGCCCCGTCCTCTCTCTTCTCCACCCTCCTCGCTCTAGAGCCGACCTCCCGGATGGGTCCCCTGGGGCATGGCCCAGGGCCTCCAGCTGGGCGGGGGCCCAAGGGAGGGGCGTCACGAAGGGGTCGAGGGGGGCTCCCTCCCCACCACGGGCACCGGACGGGCACCGTGCCCGGGACGGCGATGAGGACGCGGGGGCGCCGGCTCATCGCATCTCCCTGGAGAACGGGGGCGCCGAGAAGGGCAGGTCCAGGCGTGAGGAGAGGCGGCGGTCGGGAACGCGGGGCAGGACGGGGAGGGTGGGAAGAAGCGGGGAGGGGTCCCAGGGGCCTGAGACCGCCTGGCGGGGAGAGGCCGGGGCGCCGCCGGCTGCCCGGCCGCCCGCCCCGCTCCCCCC